TGTCGTTCAGAATGGCAGTTTTAGATTCGGACTCGGAACCAGTGTATTCAGTCTGCACCAACGTCTTCATACTGTCCTTGAACAACTTGGACAATTGGTCTTCGTTCTGCATGGCCAAGACCAGCACCGTCACCTCGGCCACGAAAATGATCAGGAGGAACACGAAGAACTGCAGCAAAGAAACATTACTTTTTTTCAAAATTAAAAATGTATAAAAAAATTTTGTTCTAATTAAAACATTTTTTCAATTTTTTTTTAATTGAAACATTTTTCAAGTATTTTTTTTCGAATTCAAGTTACATTTTTTTATCTGGATCAACAGCAAGTGTGTGGTTTGTGAGACATTTCCTGACGCGTTCATCCTGTTATTTGAATGCAATTTGAACCATTTCAAGATAATATGAATGCAAACATATTGTGACTGAATAATTTGGTACCTTAATATACTACTGTACCTGCACACTGGCTGCTGTTAGATGACAGCCATATTACTTGAATACTAGAGATTTTAATCTGTACCCTTCAAGGGTTTTAACAATTTAGGTGTGCAGAAGTACGGACTACAAAAAGATGTGTGTTGTTTTTTGTGTGTGTGTGTGTGTGAGATAGTGAAGGTCATCTCTTTTTATCTCTTTATCCATTGTGTAGTGTGATTGATTTTGTGATCTGTGAATTAATTTGGGGTAAAGAAATACAGTTTATATTTTATCTTTTGGGATTTTCTTTAAGGAAATAAACTCCTTAAGGAAATCTCCAGCTGAACCCCACAGCTGAATGACGCGTTTTATTTTTGGATGTATCACCTTTTTTCTGCCTCCTTTCGTAATTCTTGATTACACTTATCAAATTTTGATGAAATGCACATTTCAATCATTTTAATGCTGTCAATTAAAATTGCATGAGAACAGAATTTCAACTAAATATCAGTTAAAAGAGATAAGTTAGCCAGAATTTTACAGTAAGTCCCCACACAACAAAAAATTCGCAAAAACAAAATACATATTTTAGGGACACATGACGAAGTTGTTCCACATAATAAAATTTTTTGGCCAAAAAATGCCTGTATTTGATCAAATTTTCATTTGAACCTCGTAATTTTTCCTAAACCTGGAAGTAATGAGAAAATGAAAGCACAGTTTATTCATCTTTCTGTATTTGAAAATTAAAAAAAAAAATTCAGAAAATCATGCGCAAGAGTTTTGAAGATTACTGTACTTCACTTTCATGCTAAGAATATTCAATACGATTTTCTACTGTTAATACATACACACATTTATAGTTTATTGTGGTCTTTTGGTGAGAGGCTGGACCCAATTGAATCAATTGCTCGCAGCAAAAGTTCTGCACAACGAAATTCATCCAATAACGCATGAGTATCGTTATGCAGGGACCCACCGTGAGAAAAAAAAACCTTCGAATTCATCAATAATAAATGTATGCTTCAATCACGTTTAATTTGATGTTTTGAGGGCTTCAGAACTTGAAGAAAACGTATCTTGAATCCCCATTACCGCTTTCACGCGATTTTTGCACCTCAATTGTTTATTCGCTTCTTATGTTTTTGCATCACTCGATCTTGAACGAATGGAACCACAAATTTCTCGCACGAACAGCTTTCGAAAACACACAACCACGCTTCAGGTTCGTGAATAAATGAAGAGACAGACAATAAAAAATGAAGGCGAGAAACTCACGCTGCATAACATGCACTGCGACTCCTTGAGAGCCCCGCAGCAACCCAAGAAACCCACGACTAGCATGAGGAATCCAATGGCGATGAAGACATAAAGGCCCTTGTTGAACTCGGTGGCTTTCGCCGACACTTGGAAATACGTCGTGGTGTCGA